AGTCACCAATTCAGGGTCCTGTTGATTTAAAGGGAGATGGGGTGTGGAGAAAGTGGTGTGATGGAGTTTGTCTCTTGCTCTGGTGGAGGTGAGGGCATGACCTAGAAAGGCTCTATTTCCAAAATTGAGCTATCATTAGTACCAGAGCTACTGAAATCTAACTTTCAGTTTGAACTTTAAGCCTGCCCTAGAAGAGGACCTGTTTTCTTAATGAACAATCTACATGAGGTCATGTTTATATAATCTCTCCTTAATTGGGTTCTATGAGAAAGGGATTCAGTTTGGAGCCTCAACTGGTGGGCAGATACCAAATAGACCTAACTTATTAGCAAAGGCTATGAAACTCCATACTTAGTGGGATATGTAAATTAATAGATTCAATAGTCAGTGATTAGCAGTAAGAAAACCTCCTCTTTCGCCAGCTAGTAGTATCCAACCTAAGTGGAAAGTTATTTTGTGAGCTGGGGGCTGGGTGGTGTTTCTAGGCAGATTTACATGACACTTTTCTTGGTGTGGTTTGCAGATATCCCGACAAGGGCTTTGATGATAATTATTGCCGCAATCCTGATGGCAAGCCGAGGCCATGGTGCTATACTCTTGACCCTGACACCCCCTGGGAGTACTGTGCAATTAAAATGTGTGGTAAGTTAGGGTCAAATTTATTGCTTCCTTTTCCTCTCCCAGACTGGATCTAAGCAGGCGATTATTGGTGAGGCAGGTTAACAACTATTTTACTTGATGCTTTAATGTGTACGGGTTTTAATATTTTAGGAATGTGTTACATAATCCTTCCCAATCTTTTGAATTTTCAGAGAGGCATTATTCTGAAAGAGATAAATATGCAAATGCTCATGTCCACAAGAAACATTTATACTTATGATAAAGGCCTAAACATTCGGATGCTATCAAGAAAATGAAAATATCCATACGGAGAGAAAAAAGATTGGAAATACGTGCAGCATCACTAAGTCATTAAGATAGTGAAAGCAAGGACCTTAGGTTCTTACCTTCCAATCCTATATCTTTTCCCTACCTCTCCTCCCCAAAGACATAACATGAACTGTCAACTGACTGTGAACCTCTTCTGGTGAATGACAGAGGCCACGGTGAAGAATAATAAGTCAATACAAGCTTCCCAGAGACGTCTTTAATCTCTAGTGGCCGATCCCTACCTCTGTGGCCATCCTTGTACTCAGCCTACTACAGTCCTTTTCTGTCTGCTGATGCTTATTCAGCTTTGCTGAATTTATGATAAAAAGCTTCTTTTCATACTTGCTTTGTGATGTCTCTTTAAATCTGTGTACTTGGTCCTCTCTTCCATGGCTAACTCACACATTTTCACTCTTCTCTGAAATACTGTTTTTATTTCTCTAAATACGGGTCTTACTTTTTCAACTGGATCCTAAAATTCTTTAAAATCAATAGAATTGCATAAATTTAGTAAGGTGTGATGTTATAAATTGGCTTGATGATATAAAGTTATGTATATAGAGAGAAATCTATAAAGATAAATGATTTACATAAGATCAGGTACCAGTACCCGGAGTAACATATATAATTATGAGAACATTGATAGATTTTTGCATATTTCCCTATAACAGCATAATGGGAACATTCTTCTGAACAAATCTAGTTCAATATTATCCAGCCTATGATACTGCCAAGGTAAATCTTCCTTCAGTCAGACCTGCTAATAAAAATAAATGTTTTTTACAACTCATATAAAGCCCATAGAAAGGGGATGTGCCTGGCATATGTGAAATGCCTGCAGAATCTGGAAGCCTCTCAAAATGAAACACAATGTTCCAAGGAAATTGAATCATCTGTTTTGTCCTTTAAAATAAAAGATGACTCCTGTGACAGTGTTTTTCTGTATAGATTGGGTTAGTTCCACTCATTGACTTGTTTAATCTTATTAATCTTTCCATCATTGTAGACCAGATAGGCACAATAAACCGTTTCCCCTCTATTTTTGTGATTTAGGCATTCTTATAAATCTTCTCTGGAATAAGACCAGTATACACACACACACACACACACACGCACACACACACACACACTCTCTCTCTCTCTTTCTCTCTCTTTCTCTCTCTGTCTCTCTCACATGCACGCTCACCTGCATATTCATGCTTCAACTGGCACACACACACCAAGAAATCCAAGTGTTGCCCTCCTCTTCAGTTCCAAACCAATCTTTAGGATACTTACAAAGAGATAGGGAGAGACAAGAAAGAGAATGAATATGACTCTTTCTAACTATTAAATAGGTTTCTTTTTCTTGTCTGTCCAAAAAAGAATAGGCTAATTATGCAAGTAATATGCATTCTTATGGCTTTGTTGAATAGAGGGTGGTTACTTCTAAAAAAATGAGGGTAGAATTTTTGAGCGAAATCTAGATCATTCAGATTAAAATAATCTTCTGAGTTTGGGGAATATTTTGGAAAAAAATTTTGTTAAAGGACAGTTTCTAGTTTTAAAAATATGATAGAGATATAAATACGGCTAAATGAATAAAATAAAAATGACATTCTGGATAGCATAAGAGATAATGTTGTATGAATATTCTTTCAAATGTTTTGGCTTACACATGCAAAGCCAACAGTACAAAATCAAGAATTTGGTGGTGGTTTTAACTATGTATTAGTTTTCTACTGTGGCACAACAAATTACCAAAAACTTGTGGCTTACAACAATACACATTTGTTATCTCATAGTTTCTGTGTGTCAGGAGTCCAGGAATGACTTAGTTGGGTTCCCTGCTTAGGGTCTCACAAAGTCATAATCAAGGCGGCTGCCAAACCTGTGGTCTCATCTAAAACTCCATGTCACATTTCAAGTTTACTGGTTGTTGGCACAATTCAGCTTCTTGTGGTTGTAGGCTGTGGTTGCGACTCTCCCAGAGACTGCCTGATGTTCCCTGATACCTGATCCTCTCCACAATATGGCACTTTACTTCTTCAAGGCTGACAGGATAGCATCTCTCCTGCTTTGAGCCTTTGACCTCTGGACACTCTTTTAAACAGCTCACTTGATTAGGTCCGTCCTGCCTAGGTCAATCTTCCTTTTAATTAATTTAAAGTGAATAATTAGGGACTTTAATTACATATGTAGAACCTCTTCTCCTTTGTTTTACAATATAACCTAATCACAAGTGACTCTCTCACCATATTCAAAAATGTTATCCATACCCAAGGGGAGGGGATTATACAGCATGTGTACATCAGTGGGTGGGGATCTTGGGGATCACACACATATTTACTTGCACTGGTTGTAACAGATAACTGATTATCACTTTTTATTTTTATCATTAAAGTCTTGGGCCAACTTTCTGATTATCTCTTAGTCTGGACCAGCTGAACTCATTCTGGATTTTCAATATGTATGAAAAAAGAATAAGTTGTTGATTATGTCACTTACTCTCTTGAAAGTTAAGGGGGAATTTTTAAACTCCTGTTTCATTATATAATAATTGTATTAGAAAATCATAATTGCCACCATTTATTTAATACCTACAGAAAGGCGCTTTCTATCTAGCATTAATGATGTGTATTTTGATTCTACGAAATGGCTGTGATTAGGCCAGTGAGGAAAGGTGCAAAGACATGGATGGAGGAATAGCAGTGTAGTATTCAAGACATGGTAAGTAGGTTAATATGGGTAGGATATGGGTCAAAAACAGAAAAATGGGAAGAAGATGAGAAACGTTAAGTTGATATAAGGCAGATCAAGTAGGGTCCAAGAGTAGCCCATTCAGCTGCCATGAGAAACACTGACAAATTAAGCAAGGGGAGTGATCTTATCTCATTTGTGATTAGGAATAGTGGTTTCCAAACCTATGTCCATGAAACTCAGTGGAACACAAAGATTCCCATAGGGGTCTTTCACATGGGTAGCTTAAGGCGCTCAAGTTCCAGTTCCTCTATTTCCATATTAATTCTTTCCCAAAGGAAGATGGCCTCAGATGCATGTTCTCTGCAGAAATCAGGCCAGTTCAACACCCCTACGTTCCCATTCACTACTGCCCTTTCTGACTTTACTAAACAAAGGCAGACTTCCCATCCCTCCTAAATTTTACTGGAGTGCATTGCCCAATGCACTAACCTTGGGCACTAAACAAAGAGATCTTTGAAAATACACTAAACATATATTCATACTGCTTATCATTTATGGACTACTAATAATTGTAATAATTGTAGCTCTATGCAGAATATATACATATACATATGTCTCTCTGTGCGTGTGTGTGTGTGTGTGTGTGTTAATGTATGTGTGCATTTATCTCTTAGAACCCTGTGGTCATAGGAATTTAAAAATTTAATTTAAATGTATAAAAATCTTTCATAGAAGTATGATGATGCAAGGAATAAAAGACACTTCAACATAAAATACATAAAGTATAGGCCAGTAAGAAATAAAGAGGGTGTGAATTAAGACAGTTAAATAGTGAAAAAAAATAAGATGAGGAAGGATGTGAACAATATTAAAAGGGTAGAATGCATTGCATATAATGACAAACTAGATATACTAGGAGATGAAATAGGGAAAGAAAAAAGTCTGAAATATTTCCCAAGTTATTAGGTAGATGATGTATATATAAGAGAGCTATTAATTTGAGGAAAAAGATAACAAGTTTACTTCTGAGTATAATTTCTGTGTTGGTTATATGGATCTATATTTACTGTATTAGAAATTAAAATAGCAATTTAAAAGCATTTATTAATTCATTTCAAATAACAATATGCTCATTAGATGTTAATAAATATATTTTTAATAACAAATATCTATATTTTCTAGAAAAATAGGGAAAACTAGCATTGTCGATTTTGTACACATTTAGCAATTTTGCAAATGTCGTTAATATCACCTTATTGAAGACAACTGGGTGTCTTGTATTTGCTTCTGCCTTCAGTCTTTTGGGATATCACATATTACATGGTATCTGGAAACTCCACTGTATGAACGATAAATGTTTTAACATTTTTATGAAAATAGTTTTGATATCCTGGACCCCTGAAAGGATTTCAGGAACCTCAGATGTCCCTTCCCTAAACCTTCTGAGAACAACTTTTTACTATGTGTCAGAACATGTCAAGCTGATACGGTGACCTTAGAGTCTCTAACTAGGGTGTACCTGCTGGCTGCTCCAATTGTCCTCATGCTCTCACCACCAGCAATTCTCCTCTTCTTTTATTCGTTATCTTTTTTCCCTGATTTTCTTCATTATTCTTGTGGGGGGAAGGTCTATTCTGCTTTTTCAACTCTTGTTTGCATGATTGGTACGACCATTTGCCCAGGTTAAAATGCAAACACATAGAATGATCCTAGAAATGGCCCTCTCCTTCGCTCCTGACATTCAACTGTCACCATATCCTATCAATTTTATCTTCTATGTGCCTCTCAAATATGGACATTTCACTCCATCACTGTCCTTTATCCAAGAGAGTATTATTTTTCATTGTGAATGACCTGCGAAGTTGTATCTATATCCATTATTTTTCCCCTCCAATTTTGTCTCCACACTGCAAACAATGCTTTCAAAAATATGATTATTAATATATCATTCCTCATCCTTAGAACACCATACACATACTATACACACACATACCCATAGATTAAAAACCGTTACACGATTTCCTTTCATC